ATCACTATCGAGAAAAAAACAGTCACATTTTTGAGAAACAAGCCATATGCTCCCTCATAATAAGTAAATACCTGATCCTGAGCTCTTCTTAGGTGTTTCTCTCTTTCATATTGTGCCATCAGTTGCTCATTATCTTCTTTAAGCATTTCCAAATCAACTGAGCATTCTTCTTTTTCCAAATATGCAAGGTCTAGACTTTCCAATACATTGACAACTAGTGGCATCAGATTCTGTAATATTTTAATTCAAATGAATTGAAATCTTATCGGAAAAATCAAAGTTACATTTTAATTTGAAGTGATAAACACTACAAAACTGAAATGGATTTTTCGAAAAACAATGTATTATTCAGAGAAGGAATAACAGTTACTTTGACACTGTCTTCTCCATTTTTTTCTATCATAGTTTCAAATTCTTTGTAAATTGATGAAGCAAGCATTTGCACTTTTTCCGACATAACGCGAGTGTCATCACCTGCCGAACCAATTGATCCAGTAGCACCGTACACTATCTACCATAAAACTTGCATTATCAGTCAAAATAAAACAAGCACTAGTTATACTAATACACACACACATCTCTAATTAATCCGAGCAAATAATCAGAACATTATTTGAAATCTAAATAAAACTGATAATTATTTTAAAAGAAAAATTAATACAAGAAAGTAATAATTACTTCATTAAACGACAACAACGATGCTACTTTCCCATAGGAGATGTAGAAGAGTAACAAGATATGTTGCATAAAGAGGAAGGAAAAGACTCAACAAGCTAAACATAAGACTAAAAACAACTACAAGTTATGACATCTGGAGGACAAAACAAATTATGAATGGAAAGCTGCCATATTTCTTCTTTTTGCCTATGTTGGTCATGTACAGAACTGCCTATTTCCATTCCTATTGCAAGAATTTTAGTGATAGCAAAAAACACTAATAGAAAATTTTGGCAAATACAGAAGGTGACACTTAATGCCTTTAAATCACAGTCATTAAAAATTGTATGATTAATGTTGGACGACATAAATATATTTATTTGTTTATTAAAATTTATTTATGATGACAATGAAAAGAATGGTGAGTACAGAAAAACATCTGCTATTACACCAACACAATTATAGTATTTTTTTTCTTTTTTGATAATCATTTTTAAAAGAAAAAAGATTAAAATAGAGATAAATTTTACCAATGCTAAAGTTACTTAACTATTTCTCACAAAACATATTCGAAAACTGCATACCACTAGTAATACAAGAGCATACCTCACTACTACTGCTATTTGTGGAAGAATGCATCACACTGTTACTTTGAGTAATTTCCATCGTTCTATCCTCTGCGGCACACTTCACAACAAAATATTGGTCCCGAAGTTGGGGACGTAGTCGCTAACTCCACTTTTAAGCCAGCTGTAAAGCAGAATGTAGAAATTGAATTAAAATGATAAGGACGCTCAACGCAATACCAAATTTCGAGTGAGATCATTGAATTATGAATATGATACAAACTGCGTCTATACTGAACAACAGAAAAGCACAGTAAAGGTAAAAATACTTATTAAGAAAGGTACAAAGATTATTAAGGCCTGGCTATGTTTTCCGTATAACAAATAGTGAGCTTAGAAAGAAGGATTAATTCAGAAATATCCTTCTTCCAGTACATCGATTAAACCTCCGAAACATTCGTAAATCTTTGAAGGGTCAAAAGTTGTCAGTGCGTTTCTCATACTAAATTGGGAGATGAAAAGATGACAACTATCTCAACAGATTCTGATATTGTCTGAAGAGATCATAAAACTATTTGTTAACTATCATAATAAAACTGAACGTCTAAGCACGAAGCGATCACCTTTGAATTTCACTTTCACTTCAGTATATTACCCAGTCCCATATAATGCAAATGCTATGACAGAAGACGTACCGCATAAGAAGGCACCACCCAGGAGTGTCTCCTACCGCATTCCAAATACTTCTCTCAAAGACTTCAATACTCCCTCTCCCTCCACTCCTTGCAGTAGTTTGTCGATCGATGTCGTTCCTCTCCTCTGCTACATACACACATACATACACACACTTCCAACTAGAACTTTGGAAATAGGTCTATTATGAATGCAAGGCCCAGTGCAGGCTGGGGTCAAATCTCCCGAGAGGAAGCCTATGAGCACAGTGTGAGAGAAGGACGGAGCAAGACAAGTACTGCTTTGGCTCGCCGGTCATCCATTAATACAATCGCTTCCGGTAATTCTGTACAGGCCATTCGGTAAATATAATAGGGGAAGGTAAAAAACTGGTCGTGATGGACAATGACAGTAAGTGTTACCATGAAACAGTAACGATAGGAAGGAAAAGTTGTTGCAAGTCGAAGCTTTCTCAAGAGGGGACAGATGAAAATGAAATGTAAGCTGAAATGGCTCTGCTACTACAGTTGCTATCATTTAATGCATCACATCATTTATGTTCAAATGCACAACTCAATGCCATTCTTAAATGAATGAAATTCACATTTCAGTAATTTAGCAGTAGCTCATAGCAGTGATTTCCATATGATTCTCTAGCTCATGCCTTATGCTTTAATAGTATGTATTTCCTGACTGATATTACGGAACTGGATTTCCATTTCCCCAACCTTTTGATAGAAAATTTAAATCATAGATCGTCAATGAAGTCATGATGTTGACGTATGCTCTGTTAAAATATAACCAAGAAGTAGAACACAATGTATTTCGTCTATCCCTGTTACAGTTCAATTCATTTCAGTCTTCGTAGTCTAATAACAACCGATATTCATGATAAGCCTTCACAATGGTACAACAGATAACTGTTATCTCTGATCATTATAGCTGTACCTACTTCGTCCAAAGTTTATCGTAGTATTCGCCTCAGTTTTATTCCTCATAAAATTTTGAATTTCAGATCGAACTCGAACAATGAATATGATGTTTACAGTTAGAAAATAAAAGAAACTTTTTCAGGAATAGCACTTTGTGACTTTCTGACCTCACTTGACCTAAGCCGAAAAATAGGTGGAAAATGTCCGAGAAATTTTCAATAAACAGCCACTATAAGATTGACACATTAGATAAATGACATCGTATGTCATACCATCAATTTGGACTTTTCATCACTATGAACGCAGTGAATAAGGAGGAACATAAATTATTTCTGAATCTTCAATACTTCATAGTATCTGCGATATTAAAAAATTAACAAGATCAGGTAGTGCTCATCATTTCGGAATTTAAAGCTTTTGGGAATTTCTGATAAATAAAATGTGGACTGCAGTATTATAAATAGCGTTACTGTGTTTAATAATTGGAAAAGCTATACAGAACGAAATCATACAGAAAGTGCATCTCAACAGATTACTTATACCTCCAGCACTGCACACCATCCATTCTGAACAATTGTATGCACCATACAGTCCATAAGTCATTTTAAACAAATTGCCACTTTTTATTAAAACGAGGTAATTAAAATGAGACACAATTAACCATCTACTACTCATTCAGTATGTCTTATTAGTATTAATGTACGCTTCTTTTGTTAGTCAGTGTAACAGAGCATGATATATCCAACAAACCATTAATACATCTTCGTCTGAAGCAATGTCTTTACCTTGTGATCTGTTGTTATGTATATTCTACAAAGCTAAAGTTTTTATCGTAAAAATGAAATCATAGTAGCTTACATAGGGAAAGTAAGATTTCTTAAATTAAACCACGAAACATCATATCGCCTAAGTATTGCACTTAGGTAATTAAACTATTTATAACTACTTTTAGAGTTTTAGCTCTGTAAACGGTGAGAGTTAAAACAGGACCAGAAGTGAATAAAGATGAAAGAGTTCAAAGTCGGCATTTAGTTCCGCAAAAAAAAAAAAAAAAAAAAAAACGTAATTGACGTATGAATTGTCAATAGTTTTTGAAAATTTAGTAAGGATTAACTGATCGATATATGTATAAGAAATAAAAGTCAGGAAAAATCTCATTTTCAGATTTTCGGGTGAAGTCATAAAAACCATCAGTGGAAAGAAGCGTATGAAGAAATTCAACTCACTGTTGGAAAGCTATTCCGTTATCTTTTCTCATGAATTTTAATCGCAAGAGAAAAGAATAAAAAACTATTATATAAAGTAAATATGTAGTAAACTACCATTATGATTAGTTGTATTTCATCTTTGGCACTTATAATAAATGTCCTTACGTACAGTCCTTACTTCCAATATACTGCTGACAACTTCATACTATCTTAATTTCTTATAGCGACAACAGAAAATTATTTCTCTAACATTTACTGTGAAATACAAGGTATGTGTACATGACATAAAAAGGACATTAACTGCTTGATATAATAACTTAAAGAAGTGGAGCTAAAAGACGCTTACACTGACTTTATTAGTCCCAAAATAACCTGTACTTTTCATTTAAAACAAATATTATAGATATTCACACAGAAAAAGAGAATTTATCCATTGATCCATCAACTAACCCTGAAAAATTCGAAACTAACATGACTAATATCCACGTCAAATTAATAAATAATTATGAAAGTTACGAATTTGAGGTTTAAAATAGGAACTAACGTACGCATCAAATAAAAGTTCATAACGAATTGAAGAAAAATTCATAAGTCAATAAAAGGTACTCTAATTTCATAATAAAGCTATTCTAGTGTCTATTACTTCACCATTAACTCCGTATTCATTCTCAAGCAGAGATTGATAACGAAACCATGTTAAAAATTCACGATATATCTGATCGTCGAAAGCGTCGCCGCTCACAATCTGTAATAGGAATAATAAGTATAAGCTATTAGTTTTATAGCAATCCAACATAAAAAAAAAGGGGAAGCAATGTTTTTTTCAAAACTCTGATATTTCTTATGCGAGAGATGTTAGTTATTGAATTAGCCATAGAAGTTCCTTCCTAATTATTCATCGACTATATCATATTGGAATAAAATATTTTACAGTGCTTTAATTCCCTCATTTCTATATGTATTACTCAAATCATCACTAAAATATCACATTTTAAACCTATAATTTCCGTACTGTAAAGAGAAAATTTTTCGAAAGATAAAAGAAAAAAGTGAAATAACAAACCCCTACCTTCTGGTCTAATGATAAGTACACCTTCTTCTTTCAATTTATTGAGAGTAGCTGTATATGAACTTTCTGGCAAACAGTGGTTCTCTTCTGGTCTTGAAGAATATCGTGGATTATTTTTCCTTAAAAAAAAGCAGCGGTTAATGTATAACATTTATAAAACATCAGTAAGGTTCAGAAACTCTGATGTTACGCTCAAAAAGCAGTGAAATAAAAATATGATTCGTTCCAAAGTTAAACCTTTTTAAAACTCGTTCCTCGTGGCAACAGAGAGCGACGTCATTTGCGTTTTTATCACAGCAACCAAAAAATTTTCCTGAATGTTAGAATATTGAAAAAGTGTTCCAGTTTAACACTTTTTTAATTCGAATCACAAAGGAAATTTGACAAATTTCGAGAACTAAATCTGAAACCGAACCAAATGGATGATCGGCGTAACAACGCTCCAAGCGTTCAATCAAAAAACTACATTCAATCGTATGTGAATAGTATGAAAGATCAGCTTGCATCTTCCGTTCCTGAAAAATAATCTCTAACATTTAATTAGCTGAGACCTCATCACACCACTTGCAGCTAATGTAAATAATGTATCACGCTTGGAAACCGAAAGAGATGCATATAATTTCTCTGAAAATAAAATATAACGCGTTTGTAAGCTCTGGAAAGACATCCTGAATGCACTGACCTATCGATTACCATAGCTTTCCCGACTACCCATGACACTCTACATCCACTGCTGTCCTATCTAGTAACTACAACACCGCAACAACACACGCATGCTCAAGAAACCAAATAAAAAAAAAAAACCACTTCGTCACTGTTAATGCATGAAATTTCCGAGTACGTATGGTCCTTTGAATGAAAAATTTTTGAAGAATGAATAAGAACAACTAGAAAATAGTAAAATATATAGCATATCGGTTCAAAACAAAAAAGAATTTAATTATAACCAGCACCAAATCAGATTTACCACTGCTGTCATTATCTTTTGCAGCATTAATGAAAAATTGTTATACAACTGTAAAATAATGAGTAATCCTATACTATAAATCAATGAATTATTTATTATCTGAACTGCAAAAAAAAAGTTGAAATATGACAAATCAACAAGCGAAAAGACAAACTAAACAAATAAAAAAAAAAAAAATTGTATACAAGTATACTGAAGTTTGAAGTACTACTATGTGAACATCTAATGATGTCATGAAATTTTATTCGCAATAAAGGTAAGTCATGCAGTACAACCAGATCACATTTAACAATATTATTTTTAAGCAAGAAATAAATCAGTATTTTTATAAAATATGAGAACTTAAATATCTTCTCACTGCTCGCTGAAGATTAGAAAAGAGAAATAAAATTCATTACTCAATTTGCAGCAACAGAATACAAACCTTCGACAATGCAAATAAGAGGGTGATTTTACCACACATTTTAAATTTCTTTATATTTATTCCATTATTAAATCTAAATTTGATGCAAGAAAATAAATTGCCATCAGGCATAATTTTAAATCATATTTAAGATATTTTATTCGATATGTTTGATAGACTAAAAAGATTATGCGACAAAAATACAGTAATTTCACTGCACACAGAGATAGTTCTATTTACATTTTGTAATAAAAAGATACATCCAAAAACTAAGAGCATACTAATTAAGTTTATTGAATTGCAACATTGGAAACTGTTTTTGTTATCCCATCTAACCACGTCTGATGCATAACCGCAAAATGCTAAAGAAATAGAATTGCTCCTAGACTTACCCTCATCTGTCAAAAACACAGCTGTTATCATATGAGCTCCCGAAAAGGGGTCAGTTTCTTTTATCAGCAATTGCAACCACTCCCTGAAACAGTAAAAGCCATCGACTTAAATGAACTTGTGAACATAATCCCATGATATGCACAGTTATTACTTGATAACATTTAGAACAGGGAAATGTGGAAAGGCTTAAAATGCTTACATTATAAAATAAGCAGAAATACTTGCTAATAAATTAACCTTGAATAGTAGGATGCACTGATAACCGGATGTCTGTGATAAGAAGTTCCTTCATTTTTCTTATTTTTGAAAAGCTTATCATTTTTTCCAAAAAGATATTCTTTGCAAATTTCTATTACACCGTATTCAAGGCTCCCTTTCTTTTATAAAAATAAGTCGTCCTAAACATAATTTTCTTCAACAATCTGTAACACAAAGAAAGAAGGTAGAACTGCATGTTTGAAAAACGTCTATCTTTATTCCAAATGATTTTCTTGCTTATTAATAAGTCTTTAGGACTATAAAAACTCTAAAAAATCAGCTCACTTTTTTTTTTTCATTTTTGAGAGTATTAAGCCTCAATAGCTGCACTTCGTAAAGTCAAATTCACGAAGTACTGGAAGCATCTGAAACTGCCACTGCAATACTGATCATAACATCTGAAACCTAAACTTTCATGGTGAATATTATATCTGGAAATCAGAAAACAGTTTCATTCGTTGTGGTTCAAAACGATTACTTCCTGCGTCTGAATATTACCACTGATATTACCTCGATGGTCAGAAATAACTGTTTTACCTTCATCCCTCTCTCACCACAGCCAATATCACCTGTTCCCGCAACCATCGCAAACCAAAAACAAGCCCAGCAACACTGGAAGGATCGAACTTACGTTATGTTACAATGACCAATCCATGTATCACTGTAGACCTACTTCGTTCTCTTTTTCTCTTCCTTCCACCTTACCGCAATATTTTGCGAAGGGCTAATCTGACACAGTACTATTTCTTCCAATTCTTACCATCCTTCCTACTCTCCCAACTTCCACATTCTATTTCTCTCTTAATCCATACCAAATTATCTACCAGCAACCAACAATATCTTTACTATCTGTGTATCTATGTCTTTACTCCCAGCTGACAGACAAAGCAAAAAGCGCCACGTGAAGGTGAGTTGGTTCTAGGTGACCGTTGTCCACTTCATTTGTTAAGTATCTTGATGTCTTCTTGGGACCAAATGTCTGTCATCTTCCTTCTCATAATTCCAAAGTGTCGAATGTCATTCGTGGAAGTTCCATAAATAAATGAAATACGAGGTGGAATTGTAGTGTAGAAAAGTTGCCGATTCGTAAAGATATAATAGGTTGATAAAACTGATGTAACAATTAGAAATAAAAATTAGTTGAACAAGTACTTTAAATAATTAACTTATAGTAACAGTTCAATGTAGTAATTTTTGCACATTAAAACTATACACCACAATGTATAATGAATTTGAAAGTTTCACTAAATAATATGAAAAAAAGATTAACTCTGTACAGTTCACCATAACATAAATGAAATTATCATTTGACATAAAACACTGCAACTCTTTCTCTTTTGTCATCTTTCATAACATTAAAAATTGATAACGAACTTATTTTCTCTGAAATGATTTGTTCCTATTAGTAATTGCAATTACTGATAGCAATACTTCTGTATAATATTTTCTGAAACTTAACTGAAGTCACTCTGTTTCATTTATAAGCTACTTGAAAATATATTTGAGAAATAAACAAAAGAAGCTGACAAGTGTGAAAGACATTAATGACATGCATTTCATGTGGGAAAAGATTTCAAAAGCAATCCTGTTAGAAGTTAAATAGACATTAGTTGAAGGCACTTTCAGAAAAGACGAAGTAGTGTTATACTATCTTTGCTCATAAAATTTTCTGATACTGAACATATTTTAAATTCTGGAATTTAACAACTTTAGAAACAGCTTAGAAATTAGAAAGTAAATAATAGACAAAGAATAAGTTAATGATTCCGCGTAGATATATAAACTTTGTTTTTCCGTTATAATGGAAAGGACTGAAATTTGAAATTTGTGGAATTAAGGGTTAAAAAAGTACCGGCTTATTGTTTTAATATTCCACCTTATATCCTCTCTATTAAAAGAAAAGAAATAAAAAGGTGATGTGTTGGGATCTGAGGTAGAAATCTTTGAAAATACGACTGCTGTAAAACTTCAAGTGGAACTCTCATAGAAAAGAGACACCCATAAAACGAGTCACATATTGAATTTTTGTTTAAAGAAAAACTACATCTTTAAATGACCAAACGATTTGAACAAAATTAAGATTGAAACCTGATCCTATTTTTTTTCAAAAAAATTTCTTGCTGTGATGTCTTAAAGGTCTATTAAAAAACAAAAAACTTAAAGTCTATTAAATCATTTTCAAATTTCGATAAGCAGAGATCCCAACACACCGTTTAAATAGATGTACATAATCATGATCGTCTTACACGACGAAAATTGAGAAACACTGATATTGGAGGTAATAATGTTTTAGGATTGGGATATTTGGTGTCAAATGGATCATCGTCGTGTAGAGTATATGGTAGACTTGTCATACCACACGTATTGATCACTGTTGTATGAACTTCGTTGGTACCAGCTAACCTTTCCTCTATTATTATTGGAGTGAAAGGAACGACGAAATTCTTTGGATCAATGCACAACTTAGATTGTCGGACACGTTGTATCATATTTGGAAGATGTGATGGTGGTTGGTCACAAGGTTCTTCATCTGGCAGAATTAACGCTAAATTATCAGGTTCTACCTGTGGTATGACTGTCTCGGTGAATAGCTGAATGCTTGATACGGCAAACTGAGAATCATTTGGTGCTTCTGCTAACTGAATTGATCCGGGTTCATTTTCTATCCTTAGATTCTGTGATAGTTGATTCGGAGGTGGTGAGTTGCTGATAGGTTCATCGTCTGATTCTTCAGATTGTAAAGGTGAGAGTGGTTTAGTTAGCCATCCCAATAAACTTAAGTTATAATATTTCTTCTGAAAAAAGAAAGTGAAATGAAATATATATTTTAGCTAATGCTTTAGTCGAACTTAGCAAAACTATCCGATCATCGTAATATACCGCAATTGAATACCTAGGGTATTCTAAATATTTCGTTTCCAGAATCCCAGACTTGTTAGTTCTGAAATATCCATTTCTGTTTATTTTATGTTCTTTATTGCTAATAATGTAAAAACCTTTTGCGATTGTATTTAAAATGAAATCTTGATTCCTGAATATCCTTCTTTTAGCTACATTTTTCTCTCAAATATTTTTGACATTTTCAACAATGTTCAATCTATTATTGGCGATACAATCCTTAAGTTATGATCACTATTTTTGTAAGGCAGCTCAATCATGCTAATTAATTACAATTGAAAAATGCACCTGGCTGAGCCTAGAAAAGCATTTATTTCAACTACTGTAAGAAAATGAAAAATCTATCTGAAATTGTTCTTACCAGCCATCTCTCCCGACAAGATACTCGCTTTCTGGTCCGCTGCGTCACATTATTCTTTTGCTGTTTATCTGAAAAAGTTATTCTTCGATCCAGTAAATTTTTTAAATTTTTGATTGAATTTGCATAAATTTTCTCATTAGAAATAGAAAATCTATTCCAGATATTCAAATTTAAATAACTTTAATATAAAATCTGAAAAAAAAACCTGTGGAACGATCAATTCTAT